TAATTAAGAAACATTCTTTCGATCAGTTCTGCTTTCGATGTTCCTAAGCCACAAAAATTATGATGCAATAAAATTCCTGTTAATCTCTCATTGGCTGGCTGCTTTCCATTCGCAATGTCCAGTACTTGTCACGAGAATACCTCGAATGGTTGCACGTGCAAATCCCGCGACATTCGATCAAGAACCTCAAGCAATTTTTCACGTGCCATCGTATACTCATCCCAAGCAATGAGTTGAAATTTTTGTATTACTTTTTCCATACCGGATGTTCTGGAAATATTGCACGTGGGAGTTTCGATGATTTATATGTTCAATGGCAGCTTAAGAGCAGAATTAGCAATATTTCCACCTGGTAACAATGTCGCAGCAATACTAGGCGAAGCAATAGCTAAGGTTATGTAATTTTTTGAACGAACCGTTGCACAGTGGTTGCTGCCATAGGCCAAAATTAAAAAAATTTATGTAAACATTTTTGAACCAAAATAGGCTTTGCAATCAGTTTTTTGTCCAAACTTTATGTTGTCATATATTTTTTGTTTTCATTCTAACGGTTGTTTCTGAATAAAGCAACAAGAGTGTCATCAATTGTTAATTTTATTTGTACAGCGTCAGCACGCTAAAAATTGAATTGGATTTAACGTAATTAAAATATTGTGAAAAGCCGAGTGAGTTAAAATTGTATGCAATGGATATTGTACATAAAGGTATTGACTTTATTTCTACAATTGAACTTTTAGGTAATTCGTGTTGTGTTCTATGCAAATCGTTGTTTTAGAAAAGTAGGATTTTGTGTGTTTCTTGGTTCGTCTTTCAAGTATTTAGGCAATGTTTTAAGAATGTTTCCCCTATCGGCCCTCAATATTTTTATTTACATATTGTTTGTTAATATTTTAAGATTATTAAGTGTTCAGTGTAGATGCATTGACCTGCAGAGGCTCGCGTAGTATTCCTTAACCTAATCCAAGCTCTTTATTTTCTACAGTTTTTTTCATGTTTATTTTTTGATTTAACTAATTTTTTAAATCAAAATGTTTCTAGGCACAAGTTAACTGCAAATTTTCTCGATTACATATTTTTGAGATTTGGCGTGAAAATTTCGGTACGCATTCCCAAAAAGTTCAAAATTTTCCGGGGTGCAATAGCGAAAGATATTGAATATGAGGGTTTTGAGCCAGACCGGTATGACTTGCAAAAATGTATTAATTATGTTTGTAAAAAATTTGCATTGTTTTGGCAAAGATCCAAACGCCCAAAATCAGCAGCATCATTATAATTGGCTCGGAAAGAAAGAAATCATTTCATTAAAATGTCAACCAACAGTTTCCACCAATTCAAATCGTAGCGCCCGAAAATAGATTTTGTTGAGTCTTCAAAAAGACTAAGCGTCGACGAACATATCGGGATAAAATTTTTACTCTAAGGTCTGTTAAGAGTAAAAACTGTAATATGTAAAGGTGGGCGGGGTTGGACACGCCAGTAATGTGAAAAATAATAGGGACACGACATTGTGACCTGTTTCGGCTATTTTTTTTTGTTTGTTTAATGTTTATTTTTTTATAAAAATACAACTCACTATCTAACAAAAACCAAATTTCAAACTTTGTGAAAAAATAGAAAAATTCAACAAAATTTTAAAACAACACCAAACTTTTTAAATAAAAACTTTTAGAAAAAAGTTATGTATGAAGTTTTAGAGCCCACTGAATTCTAGCTCAAGAAAGTGCAAGTTTTAAGTGGCAAAGAAATCGCTTTAATTTTTGACAATTTTGTTTCCTGACGGTGTCACGCATTTTCTTTCATTCAAAGTATTTTTGACAATTTTTTTTTTATGGAAGCAAATAGTAACACCATCCGCCAAATAAAATTACCAACAATCAACGCAAATTTTTAGCCACTTCAAACTTGCAATTTCTTAAGCTAGAATTTAATGGGCTATAAAACTGCACACCTAGATTTTTTCTAAAAGTTCTTATTAAAAAGGTTTGTGTTGTTTTAAAATTTTGTTTTCTACTTTTTTTTACAAAGTTTGAAATTTGGACTTATGTGGTTTTTGTTAGATAGTGAGTTGTATTTTTATAGAAAAAAATAAACATTAAGCAAAGAAAAAAAAACAAAAATACCCGAAACTGGTCACAATGTCGTGTCCCTATTATTTTACACATGACTGTATGTGGGCGTGTCCAACCCCGCCTACTTTTACATATCACATTGTTTACTCTTAACAGACCTTAGAGTAAAAATTTTATCCCGATATGTCCATTAAAAGTATTTTTGGCCGCACTCCCCATATAAATGCAACCACTGTGCGTTGCCAGAATCAATCTGATAAGAAATGGTTTCCTAGTTCATCCTGGCGCATCAAGAAGAAGGTCCCCCAGCTCCGTCAATTATCATTTGCATATTCTTCCTCTTATTTGGCCCTGTAAATGCCTAAGCCATTTTGGCCGAGCTCGAAAAAGGACGCCAGTCGTTTCTCTCTGTGC